CCCCCCCGCCCCACTCATCTGTTGACGACATGTTGACTTTTCACAGTGGGTTTCATTCTCCGTGTCTGGCCATTAGTTCAGTCTTGCTTTCCGCATGGCAGATCCGTTACAAATAAAGGAGGTCAAGTTTGAACAAGGACACCGCAAGGCTTTCTTTCTTTTTTTTTTTTTTTATATTCTTTTTTTTATTTTTGAGAGCAGAACGTAACATAAAAGAAGAAGTATTATCGCACTGTGATATTTAATCAAGGGAGAAGATTGTAAGACCATTCCAAATACTACAGCTAGTCGTCTGTGTTGGAAAACAAAAAAAAAATTGTGAGTGGTTGGGGGGGTGGAATCAAGCGAAATGTATTTTTTTAAAAAATGATTTAGAATGAAATGGACTGAACTTTGTGATGTAGATTCGTGTCAATGTTGAGCTATAAAATAGTTAAATTTTGCTATAAGGGGTTTTGTATATGTTATCCCCTGAATAAAATTAGGGAATTGAGTATTTATTTATTAATTTCAGACAGGATGATTGCCTACTAAGTTTAAAATACCAACGGGAAAAAACTTGCTAAATAAACAGTTTGGTATTTTTAAATAATTTATATCAACTTCATTTTTGTTTCTTGTCTTTCTGTGGGGTAAAATCTTTTAAAGGCTAACTGACCCACTTCCCGTCATCCTATCGAACTGAAACTGTGATCATAGACTCGTTGTCGATGACAACTCAAAATGTTAAATTATTTTAGCCCCACCCCCAACCCCCAAGGTTTTTCATGTTTTTTTGGCTGGGAAGCTGAAGGAATATGACGTCATGACTTCTTGAGAAATGTATCCACCGCTAAGTCCCACAAAAAAAATTTACCCTTTATACCAAACCGCTTCATAATAAATAATACATCACGTACAACTACACAAAAGCAAACTTAAGTGCATATAAAGGATTTATGTGAATATCTTTCTTTTTAGGGGTTGGTTTTTTGTTACAAAGTCTTATTTAGCTTGCCGTTTTGTCTGTTTTTTTTTTTTTTTTTTTTTTTTTTTTTTTTTTTTTTTTTTATANTTCGCATCTCCAATTTATACAACATTCTTAAGTCCAAAATGAGCTGAAACCGTTTCCCTCTTTCCCCATCTACGATAACAATAACACCCTTCGTGATCCGTATGCTGAGTTCTCTCTACTGGTCAAATCTTGCATCACAATTTAGCCTCACTTCCGGATGTCAAATATAAAATACAAAATAAAACAATACAGTATTATGAAAAAAAAAATAAAAAAAATAAAACGCTTTTCCAAAATGTTCATTTTCCGAGAAGATCTTCTTACAGCCCTGGTTTAAAAAAGAAAGGTTTCCGACCCCTGGCAAACACATTTTGTGGGTTTTCTAGGCAATTTATCATCTGAAAAACTAACCGAAACAAATAATTTTGGATAATTCAATATTCTAAATATAAACAAATACTTTAAAGAGTAGGTAACTTTGAACTGAATAAGTTTCTTCTTTTTAGCTCCGATGCCCAAGCTGTTTACAGGCGTGTGCATCAAACTTAAAAAGGGGGGGGGGGGAATGATAATATAAACGATGGATCAAAATGCATTAAAATCTAGCCGGACAGAAGTCAGACGCCTTATGACGTCATACTATCAATATTTCACAATGATTTTTAACAAGTTTTGAGAGTTAATCATTAAAAAAAAAATGTTCACTGTGTTTAGCGGAAAATGTTGGTCTTGTTTAACATTTAATAAAATAGATTTTTTAAAAGTTCGATCAAAGAAAACAAAAAAACTCATTTGTATACCAGAAGTGTTTAAGTCCTAACTTTTATTTCAAATCTTTCAAGTGTTTTTAGTGTTTTTATTTTATTTAGACATATCACCCCCAGCCACTTTCCCAATAACCACCAAAAAATTGACCTTTAAAAATTTTAATTTCTCTTTATATTTCCCAGAAAAATCCAGAAAAATGAAGTGCTTCATGTTTCGAGTCGTCTGCGCTTGTTTGTACCAGGCGTCACTTGTGGCAAGTCTGCTCGGTTATAATGCCCGAACCGGAAGTTCTCACACGTCGGACGCCAATCACGATGACGACACTGTCTACGCCTCCTCACGACGTGTTGATCACGAAGCGTACGTCCGTAATCATCCTGCCAACTGGAGGACGGAAGACGTTATTAACAGGACAGCTTTTCAGACCTCTGTAGTGCTAACGTCTGGGACGAAGTCGGTTCTCGCGGCGACTGGTAAACATACACCACACGGTCGATTGACGAATACTGCAAGACGTAACGGATGGAAGAAAGCCAGGCGTTTATTTGAATCAAGGGAAATGTCACGAAAAAGAATAAGGATTTCTCAGCACCACAGCAGTAAGCTCAAAGGTGATCTTGTGGACGTGGATAGATTTCACAGGAGATTTCCCCTGCCGAAAAGTGATCGCGATTCTCAGAAATTTCACCGATATTTTAGAGAAGTCGTTAGTGCCATAAGGACGGGGGTTGACATGTGGGATCGAACAATTCACAAAATCGTACACCTCGCCAAGGGAGACGAGCCCGATGGTGAAATACTAACCACGGCTGGAGAGGATGAGCAAGGTGGGAGAACTCTGCGGGAAACTGACACCGGAAATACAATTACTGGCAGCAGCGCCGAAAGCGAAGGATCCGCTAAGCCAGTCACAGAAAACCATACATTTAAGTCGGGTATTCCCGGAAACCTCGTTGTGGCCCAGCACGTGATGGCTGCGTTTGACGCATCTTTAGTTTCGTTTTTGTCAACGATTACAAAGAACAAAAAACGACAGAAAAATAGTCCCGGAAATTTCAACTCCGGCAAGGGAAAGATTTCAATGACAAGTTCGAATTCGAGTTTGTCATCAGAAAATTTCAAAAATCAAGATTCGGTTGATTATAAATTCGAAAAAAATACCTCAAAAATTAATCTCCACCAGCCCATTTTAAAAGTTCCATTAATTTACATTAAATCGGTTTATACAAGGAGGCCGCTGCTGTTCCATCACACATCGTTACAGCCTCCATTCAATAGATTGCACATCAATAGAAATAGAAATAGATTTTATTATAACGCATCGTCTCTGAAGTTATACATTCCTACCACTTTGATCTTTAAATTCATTCCCTCGCCAACAGTCTTTAAAAATTCTCCTGACTCCTCGGAAAGGTCAGCGCCAGTTGTATCTCTCGGATTAGTCGGTCGGCCAGAATACGATACCCCTCCGCGCGTCACCAAGCGACATGCGACACCACCACCTAGAGCCCTTACAGTCGAGGCGATCGGCTCTTCCGAATTAAACCCTCTCGGGAGATCACCTAATACCAGTCGTAAGATAATACGTGAATTGAACCCTGCGCGCAAAAGACCGCCAAGACATTATTCAACCTTGAGAAATTCCAGCGAAACTTTAAAAACTCCAAACTGGCAACGGGGACCAGATTTGAGATCCAGCACTAAAAAATTCAGAGCGTCGTTGAAAACTCGGAGCAGACACAGAAATCCATTTAAACGCGTGATAAATGAAAATTTTCTTCACGATATCGCACACTTGGACAACAATTTAAACAACAACGCTTCCAGTATTGCACAGCTTCAGAACACGGCTGACACCAATCATTCGGAATACAAGTCGACGCTTGATTACAGCTTGCGTGTGGAGATTATGTGCTTAGTGAAGAGCAGCGATGAAATCAGTGAGAGATTACGCTCACAAATTGAGTCGCTGCTGCTTACAAGGAAGGATGCGCGCGCGATCGGAGATGGCACGCGCGGGAAGGAACATGGCCGCGGCAGAGGCCGAAGAAGCTCCTCTCGAAGAGAGCTGAACATGATCATTTTGCTGCCGATGACGCTGAACCTCATATTTAACTACCAGAGGGTGTTTGGTGCTGTCGAGATCGCGATCAGGAAGGTAAGCTTTAGCTCTGTATCGTGGGGGTGGAGTCGGTACAGCTTGACGAGGAAGGATTCGTTGGCTTTTTTACTTTGCTTGCTGCGAGGGATTTTTTTGTATGGGTTGCTGTGAGGTTTGCCTCAAGTCATATTTTGGACATTTGTTGATTTGATGGTTGGTGGTGTGAGGTTTGCCTCAAGTCATATTTCGGACATTTGTTGATTTGATGGTTGGTGCTGTGAGGTTTGCCTCAAGTCATATTTTGGACATTTGTTGATTTGATGGTTGGTGCTGTGAGGTTTGCCTAAAGTCATATTTTGGACATTTTTTGATTTGATGGTTGGTGCTGTGAGGTTTGCCTCAAGTCATATTTTGGACATTTGTTGATTTGATAATTGGTGTTGTGAGGTTTGCCTCAAGTCATATTTTGGACATTTGTTGAATTGACGGTTGGTGCTGTGAGGTTTGCCTCAAGTCATATTTTGGACATTTGTTGATTTGATGGTTGGTGCAGTGAGGTTTGCCTCAAGTCATATTTTGGACATTTGTTGAATTGACGGTTGGTGCTGTGAGGTTTGCCTCAAGTCATATTTTGGACATTTGTTTATTTGATGGTTGGTGCTGTGAGGTTTGCCTCAAGTCATATTTTGGACATTTGTTGAGTTGATGGTTGGTGCTGTGGGTTTGCCTCAAGTCATATTTTTAACATTTGTTGATTTGATGGTTGGTGCTGTGAGGTTTGCCTCAAATCATATTTTGGACATTTGTTGATTTGATGGGCGGTGCTGTGAGGTTTGCCTCAATTCATATTTTGGACATTTGTTGGACTTGTCGTGAGGCTTTGTTGTGAGGTATTTTGTAGGAATTGGCGTTGGGCTTTGTTGTGAGGCATGTTGTGGGACTTGGCGTAAGGCTTTTTGCAAGGTTTGGTTTTATATGATCTCTCGGGATAAAAGGGGTGTGGGATTAAAAACCCCTTCGATGATCTTTTTCTAAACCGCCACGCACGCTGTCACATTTTTCCAGTTTAAAATCTAACTTTTGTATAAGTATAATCCTCACATTTTCACCAATTATAACCCCGATGAACTTCTATTGCAGGTGGTTGAGCTCCAGCTCCTGCCCGATCTGCACATCATATCTGACTACGACGACTCGAACTGCTCCATCAGCGACGGCATGAACGCAGCCATCGAGTTCTACGCCAAGAAAAAGGTCGACGTGTTCGTGGGGCCCGTCTGCGATTATGCTGTGGCCCCCATTGCGAGACAGGTGTGGTGAGAGTATTGAGCTGATAGACCCCCCCCCACACACACACAACTACATGCATACATGACTGCTATGACCACGCCCACATTGTCTACGCCTCCTCGCAGCGTATCGATCAGTACCCGTATATACACACATGAACGCTATGACCACGCCCACATCGATACACGATGGCTATGACCACGCCAACAAAGGCTCACGATGGATTTGACCACGCCCACATCGACGCATGACAGCTATGACAGCTATGACACTCTCCAGCAAAGACACTTGACTGCTGTGACCACGCCCACATGACCGATTTCTCATAAAATACAATTGACTGCTATGCCGACTAATAATTTATCTTAAATTCTTCCACAAATATAAAATCAAATCAATCTATTGCTTGCCGCCTAATATTTTACAACGTTTGCATCTTCAGACCCGCTACTGGAAGATTCCGCTGCTGAGCCCCGGTGCCATGGCCAGCGACTATGGCCTGCACAAGGTGTCCATGTTCCCCATGCTTACCAGGATGGGCTACAACATGAACTCGTTCGTCGACTTTCTGGTGCAGCTCCTCAACAAGTTTGGCTGGAGGAGGTTCAAGACGCTGTACGAGCCCCATGGGATGAACAACATCATGGACAGATTCTGCCACATAGGTACGTAGCTGGCATTACAGAGCATTGAGACTTTATTAAATGTTATGTGTGTTTGTATTTGTATGTTTGTATGTTTGTATGTTTAGGCGGCAGTTGAGAAGATTCAAGACACTGTACGAGCCACCAGGGATGACAGGTTCTGCCACAAAGGTTACGTAGCTGGCATTACAGAGCAATGAGTCTTAATTATATGTTATGTGTGTTTGTGTGTGTGTGTATGTGTGTTTGTGCAGAGGCGGCAACAGAGAGGAAACCCTCAGGGAGTAGGTGGAGCGTTGGACAATTAATAAAATAATCACATGCGCTTTTTCAATAGACTGATACGAAACCAGAAGAGTGAAACAGAAGGCACGCAGTGTGACTCTTGGCACATCAACTCTTTAGCGACAACCTATCCTTTGTGGTTCAATAAACGTATCAAATTTTATTGCCTTTTCCGTCTTTGGATCATGGCTTACATAGATTTCGCTCCTCACCAAATAATTTTCTAAATTCTTGAAACAGAAGTTTTTGTAATTTCTTCGCGTGCAAGAATTTAAAAAAAAAAAAAAATGAAGGATTTTTTTTTTAATAAAAAAAAAAAATTTTTTTAAGGGAAGTAACTGCTAGTAAACAGTTGCAGAACAAAAGTATTTAGAAGTTATTTCCCTTTAGTTGTATCAGGACATTTTGATCATCATGGATCACCTGTCCATTCAGTCACGGTTCACTTAAAACGTTATTTGTACATACATTTTTTTTTTCAAGACACCAGAAGTGGACTTAAGTGCGATGCCCACGTAGGATACACCGCTGATTCTCCACTTTCAAAAGACGGTTTAGATTAGAAACTTATCACGTCAGAAAGAATATTCAAACAAAATTTTTTAGCAAATAGCAGGTCAATGGATAAATGGATTGCTAGTTAAGCGGTCAATCAAATATGAATTTTTATGACGTCAGAAGTCCTTATGTCGTTTCCTCACCCTCACTCCTTTCTCCTCAAATCTCTGCCCCCCCCCTCCCCCAACCCTCTTTCTCCTAGGGGAGATGAGATAGGAGAGATGCGATAGGAGAGATTTGATAGGAGAGATGATATAGGAGAGATGTGATCGGTGAGGTGGGATAGCAGAGACGAGATATGAGAGATGAGATATGACAGATGAGATAAGAGGGATGAGATAGAAGAGATGAGATAGCAGATATGAGATAGGAGAGATTAGAGATGAGATATGAAGGGGATAAGATAAAGTGAAAAGAAAAATGGCATGCAGTAAATGATTTTAAGCGGACGCTGCCACGCAAAATCAACCGAAGTCATTTCCGTTCTGAGATATTTTAAGTAATTCTTTGTGATCTCAATACACGAGCGCTTAGGGGAAATAATTGTAAAACTGGAGAAATGGTAAAGAGAATATTTATACTAAAGATATACTAAACTATTTCAGATTTAGTCTAACGTTTAGAGAATAATAAGTTAAGATATAGCTAACATCTTAAAGAAAAAAGAAGTATATATAACGTATTGACGACATATGGGAAATATAATAATATTAATAATACATTTTTAAAAAAGGGGGCCGTTATGTTGCAGCTCTGGCCAAGAAAAAAATTAGATAGGACATACAGGAAATAGAGAGGACATATGGAAAATAGAGAAATGTTGCAGCTTTGGGGCAGATATAATTAGGACATATAAGACATAGATACGACACATGGGAAATAGAGAACGTTATGCCGCAGCTATGGGCAAGATATAGATAGGACATATATGACATAGAGAGGACAAATGGGTAATAGAGATACGTTATGTCGCAGCTTATGAGCAGATATAGATAGGACATATAGGACATAGAGACGACATATGGAAAATAGAGACACGTTATGTCGCAGCTATGTCCAAGGTATAGATAGGGGATATATGACATAGAGAGGACATATTGGAAATAGAGAACGTTATGCCGCAGCTATGGTCAACATATAGATATGACATATAAGACGACATATGGGAAATAGCTATGGAGCAGATATAGATTGGCCATTTATTGACATAGAAACGACACGGGAAATAGAGACAAGTTATGTTGCAGCTATGAGAAGATATAGATAGGACATATAGAACTTAGAGACGACATATGCGAAATAGAGAACGTTATGCTGTAGCTATAGCCAAGATATATATATATATATATATATATATATAGGACACATAGGACATAGAGAGGATATATGGGAAATAGAGCCACTTTATGTCGCAGCTATGGAACAGACATAGATAGGCCATATAGGACAGACATATGGGAAATAGAGACACGCTATGTCGCAGCTATGAGAAGATGTAGATAGAACATATAGGTCAAAGAGAGACATATGAGAAATAGAGAAGGTTATGCTGCAGCTGTAGCCAATATATTTATATAGGGTAAAGGACATAGAGAGGACATATGAGAATAGAGACACGTTATTTCGCAGCTATGGAGCAGATATGGATAGGACATAGAGACGACAAATTGAAAATATACCCGTTATGCCGCAGCTGTGGCTAAGATATAGATGGGACATAAAGGACATAAAGAAGACATAAGGAAAATAGAGACAAGTTTTGCCGCAGCTATGGCGAAGGGGTAGAGAAGCTAAAACAGACAATCTGTCCAAAAGAAATAGAGAAGGTTTAGAGAAGTGATCCAAACACTAGTCACATCACGTGATGTAGTTCTGTGTCTGGTTGTGTTGTGTTGTGTAGCGTTGCTGAGCGATGTTGCTTGTTTTTTTCCTTTAGTTACTACCCCCCCGATATCACACGAGTTTTACTCAGTCCCATAAGACGTATTTCCCATGACGCATGACCCTGGCGATGTGTTGGGCACAAAAACGTGTGTACGTGTGGCGATCCACAGAAGACTTTGTTTTGTGAAAGTAAGAGTGAGTTAGTATTTTATTTTATTATAAATTCGAGGAATTTTCGTATTGTGGACAGGAGATTTTTGTGTGTGGCTTTTTGCGAACGCCAGTTGTTACTAGTTTGTCATTGTTGTTGACTTTGTTATACACGGACTATGAATAATCGAAGCAGGATATTGAACATGTTAAACTACGCCATGAGTTTTGTTTGACTTGACGCTACATGGCAGCCTTGTTGGGGGCCAGGAGACGGCAATGGAGTTCTACACAGCGGCCTTGTTGGGGCTAGCACATGACAAGGGAGTTCTATACTCTGACATTGTTTCTGTGGCCATACGGAGAAGACATATTATTAGAATACGACTATCAGCCACAATATAACAAGACGTAGTGAAAATATATAGGAAATATAGTGAAGATATGGAGAATATGTAGATAAGATGACGATAGGACATAGTGAAAATATGAAGAAGACATACAGGAGATATAAAGAAGACATAGTGAAGTTATAGATAGGATATACTGAAGATGTAGAGAAGATATAGTTAGGACATAATGAAGATATAAATATGACATACTGAAGATATGGATAAAGACATAATAAAGATATAGAGGAGATCTAGATAGGACATAGTGAATATATATACAGAAGATATAGATGGGACAGAGAGAAGATGTAGATAGGATATAGTGAAGATATAAAGAAGATATATACAGGACAGAGTGAAGATATAGAGATAATATAGATAGGACAAATAGAAGATATAGAGATGGCATAGAAAGGACATTGTAAAGATATCGAGATGATCTAAATAGGACATAGATGAGATTAGATAGAATATAGGGAAGGTATAAATAGGACATGTTGAAGATATAGAGATGATATAGATAGGACATGGTGACAACTTAAGCTAAAGATACCGACTCCATCTTCTCCCCCCCCCCCCCCCCCCCCCAGCTGCCGACTCCGCCCACAACCTTATCCGTGTCGGCTATCCTCACATCCTCAACGAGTACAAGGCGTTCCGACTGCTGGACGACATCCTAGGAAACCTCCACAAGGTTCTCGGCAGTGAGTGGGCAGGTAGGACCAATGTTCTCTTACAGAAAAAAATAGCATTTTCTCAGTCTTCTCTATTATCTTTCCTTTATTTTCCTTATTCTTCTAATTTCATTTAATATAATTACAGCGCTCTTCTTTCTTATTATTCTTATGCCAGAATTCTTATTACAGCACTCTTCTTTCTTATTATTCTTATGCCAGATAATATAACTACAGCACTCTTCTTTCTTATTATTCTTATGCCAGATAATATAATTACAGCACTCTTCTTTCTTATTATTCTTATGCCAGATAATATAATTACAGCACTCTTCTTTCTTATTATTCTTATACCATATAATAAAATTACAGCACTCTTCTTTCTTATTCTTCTTATGCCAGATAATATAATTACATCACTTTTCTTTCTTATTCTTCTAATGCCAGTTAATACAATTACATCACTTTTCTTTCTTATTCTTCTTATGCCAGATAATACAATTACATCACTTTCTTTTCTTATTCTTCTTATGCCAGATAATAAAATTACATCACTTTTCTTTCTTATTCTTCTAATGCCAGATAATACAATTACATCACTTTTCTTTCTTATTCTTCTAATGCCAGATAATACAATTACATCACTTTTCTTTCTTATTCTTCTTATGCCAGATAATAAAATTACATCCTTATTCTTTCTTATTCTTCTTATACCAGATAATACAATTACATCACTTTCCTTTCTTATTCTTCTAATGCCAGATAATACAATTACATCACTTTTCTTTCTTATTCTTCTAATGCCAGATAATACAATTACATCACTTTTCTTTCTTATTCTTCTAATGCCAGATAATACAATTACATCACTTTTCTTTCTTATTCTTCTAATGCCAGTTAATACAATTACATCACTTTTCTTTCTTATTCTTCTTATGCCAGATAATACAATTACATCACTTTTCTTTCTTATTCTTCTAATGCCAGATAATACAATTACATCACTTTTCTTTCTTATTCTTCTTATGCCAGATAATAAAATTACATCCTTATTCTTTCTTATTCTTCTTATGCCTTGTAATACAA